AAGAAAGAAACTGGCCCGTTTAGTTTGTTTATTTAAGTTTTTAATTTGAGTTGAGATGTGATTTTATGTGAGAATTTTTTACTATAACAAAAAAGTTAAATGTGATTGTTTGTGAGAGCTTTTTACTGTCGCAAAACTCAAATTTTAAACTCGAATCAGCGAAATGAACGGGAATAAAACAGTTTGTTTCGTTTGTTTGAGTTGAGAATTTTAATTAAAAATTAAATTTATGTGAGAGAAACACTATAATAAAAAAAGTTAAACTTGAATTTTTGTAAGAAAAATTACTAATAAAAATTTAAATTGTGATTCGAATTAGCGAAACGAGTGGGGTTAAAAGATTTCAAATGCGGCAAATTACCTGCAGAGGTTTATCAAATCCGACTGTCAACAACTGTAAACAATCTCTATAAAAAAAAATGTGATTCGACGATTTAAAATTATATTCATCAATGCAGTATTTTTTCTTTCGAATTTTTTTTACCCTAAGAAAATTATTTACCTTATTGGTAAGAAAATGAAAACATGAAAATGAAAATGAATATTAGGATGTTACAGCCGTCCAAACAGTGAACACATTTATTAATAGTTGGGGTTGCAGAGTTACCCACTCCGTAGTGTCATGGCAAAACTGGCAGAGAAAAGAAAAGATATAACGCAACACAATATTTGCAGAGAAAAGGCATTAAATTTGTCCCTTCCAGAACTAGAGGGCATTACGCTAGAGCCTACCAAATATTTAACCTAGAACCACTCACTCTTTTTGGAGTTTACCCCTGGTCCAGACCATCTTGTGTCGTTGAGTACTTTTTTTTTTTAACTTCTTATAAACATATATATTCAACTAACACATTCAGTGGACATTTAGTTTATAGATTCAGAATCATTCTCGATTTATGTGTATTTTTTATGAGAAAAAATACTATAGTGAATCATGAACCATGATTCAAATTATGGTATGAATCTAACAACCAAACAACCCTTCAATGATTTTACACGGTCCAAATTTCCTTACTAGCCAAAATTCTTTGAATTTATAATTATTCATTTTGTTGCTAAGATGAAACTATATATGAAAGATCAGAGCTGTCCACCCCTTATCATGTCAAGAAACATTAAACTCATATATACCATTGTCTTTCATAATCACATTATACATATAGGAAATGTCTTGATCAATCCAGCGGCCGTACCAATCTGACAAATGTAACATTTTTGTAAAACTCATTTTATTTGAGTGTGATACTAAATAAAAATGTAATCTAACACTATATTACATATAATTTGTTTAAATTACATGACACTAATAAATTACAATTTCATATGAAAAACATACACCTAACATATCATACAACCGCCAGATTTGAAACCATGCCTATACATATACAAGCACAATGACACATAATTGTTGCCAGTAGGGTTTTCCGTTTTCTCATGGGTGAGTTCTAGAGTATATTGCATCCATAAGTCTGTTAGAAAAAGAAGATCATAAACGTGTTACTAATACCTCAGAATTGAATAAAACACAACGGGCGCGTTTGAAACTCGTTCTAACATGATTTTATTTTTTGTATGAAAATGAAAATGAAAATATTTTCAATCTCAGATAAATATCATTTTTGAAAATATATTTAGTAGTTTTATCAAGAAATTAGTTTCAGTATAAAAAAACTAATTAATGTATCTTTTTCTCTCTCTCTACTCGAGAAATGAAAAAATGAAAATAAAAAATGAAAAATGACTAAAAGTTGTTTTTCATTTCTCTCTTATTTTACACTAAATTAAAAAATTATTTTCATTTATATTTTTTGTCTTTATTATGCCAAACGTTATTTTGAAAATATTTTCATTTTTTCTTTCTCAAAAAATATTAAAAATAAAAATGAGATTAATTCTAAATACGACCGACCAATCTTGCACCATGCCAGTACGAGCCTTAAGGCGTAAACTTTATTTCAATGTGGTCTATGACTACTCTACGTGAACCTATATATACACACATTTATATATAGGCTATATATAAGTGTGTATGTATCCCAAAGTTACTACATCAATATATGACAAGCTAGTTTTTTTTTTCTTTTTCTTTTTTTTTTTTCCTTGTAGGTAAGTAAGCCTCTCAGCTAAAATTTAACACGTGCCCGTCTCAGAAAAGAATGATATTGGATTCAAGGAGGAAAGACAAAAGAATTTAATTGGAAACAAGTATCCAATGTGAATTAAAAAGAAAAAAAAAAAGGTATCCTATATATCTTAATAAATTCAATAATAATCTTACTCGTAGCCGTATGTACAAGTATATATATAAAGATCTGTTTTTAGCAACAAAAAGTGGGAAAATGAAGAAAATGAAAGAAAGATGTTTTCTCAATAATTTTAGCTTATTTAAGCTTTACGCTACTTATTCCCATGCAAAACCGAAACTTCCTATATATAATAATGTCTCCATATTTATCTAAAGATCGAATATATAGCGTAATTATTATTGCATATGGAGCCCCAAATATATCCCATATCTACTTTGTTGTTAAATGATAGATCTCTGGTTCATTGAAAACGACTTAACTTTAAATTGCATAACCGAAAGTTGACTGGGTCAATGTCAAGTTTAGCCGGTTACGATATTATTGCATGCATTAAGTTATTAACCCACCAACATATTATAGCAATAAGGCTTTCATAGTTTCATATTTTTTTTAATGGCTAGTTTCATATTTTTTTTGGGAAGTTTTAAGAAGCCGTCAAAGAAGTATCATTATTGCCACTGTTTTTAAAATTTTCTTATGTCATTAATATTTTGTATGTTATTTTTTATACTTGTAGATTATCTTTTATATCCTGTAGTTATTTTTTATATTATTCTCAACGATTTTTTTTTCTTTTTTTATGAATTCTCTCTCTCTCCTTTCTCTTTTCTTCTCCATCCGCGGCCAACAACCGTGCCTCGCAGCTGCTAGTTCCACCAGAGGAGGCTGCACTTGCCGGCCGAAATTCTGAAACACTCAAAACTTCTGATTATGATATCTATGTCGTCCGACCTTTGATTGAGATGATTTTGGTCTTTGCGTACTCATAGTGACGAGACAAAAAGAACCAAACCAGTTTCGCCCCGAATCTCGCCGGAGCACTGTTGTCGGCTTTCGATTTCGGTGGGTGGTGGCGTGCAGTGCCGACACCAAAATGCTTCAGAGGCCGAGGCGAGTTGATAGAGAGAGAGAGAGAGAGAGAGAGAGAACGAGGGAAACGGGACGAAGTCTGTGCTCGTCAACGGCGAGGGGGAAGTCAGAGATGGGGTAGCACCGGTGAGGTGCTGCAAAGAAGAGAGAAAGAGAAGAAAATGGGAGATGGCACAATAATTTTAGTAATTGCAGAAATAACATTATTTAAAAAAAAAAAAAAAGTGCCGATCTATGTAATTCCCTCTATCTTTTTAAAGCTCAGAGTTGCATTTTCAGCCATAAAAAAATTTATTAATAATGAAATAAAACATAGAAAAACTGAGAGCTGCATAGTTAGAACTTAGAAAAGAGAATATGTCACTCTGGTGCTTTGTAATTATTCATCAGGTAGGTATGATCATATTGTTTAGTAATTTTCATCAAGATGGATGTAGTTCACGAAAATATTACACAAGGTAGGCCGTTTATTAAACATAAAGGGAAGCAGATCCTGATTCAGAATCATGATTTTAGATCCTGATTCTGAAACCTGATTCTGAATTAATATTTGTTTATAGTAATTCTGAATCATGATTCAGAATCAGTGTTGAGTTTGAATGATTTTAAATCTGATATGATATTTTAAACTAGCTTAAATCATGATTTTAAAACCACCCACTCTTGATTCAAGGTGATTCAAATCTTTAATTCTGAATCATGATTTCAGAAATCATGATTTGAACCCAAAATCATGAATTATAGTTTTAATTTCAGACTCATTATTAGAATCACCATAATTTAAATTCTCATACCAAACGAACCTAAAATTATGTCATTTCTATCCTTTTTAACTTAAAAATATAACTAAGAAACAAATCTAAAAAGAAGACGTTTTCTTTCTATCAAGTGGCGGAGTTACCCAATACCGGGTAGGCTGCCCCCCACTAATTTAAGGTGGCTCCTTCAATTTTAGCTCAACTCATTTTTTGTTTTTTAAAAGTTTTCTCCTATGTCGCCCTCTAAATTTTTTTTTCATTTATAAGATTTATATGAAAAGTTTAAGAATACTATACCCTTAAAATTTAACTATTGAGTATCTCATATTTAAATTTAAACATAAATTGTTAAATAAATCAATAATCAATGATACAATTATATAAGTTCATAACCTTAAAAGGTGAATCAAACTCAATTAAAAAATTGATTCATTTGGATTAAAAATATATAAGATAATAACTGTACTATTATTTTAGTGTAAAACTTTGATTTTACTCACGATCTCATTAATTAATAAGAATACAGAAAACAAACATTAATTTTATGCCCGTAGAGACGTTGACATTTGATTAGTTTTATACCCGTAGAGACGTTGACATTTGACGCGATTCTGCGTCCAAATTTCCAGTAATCATTAATGTAAAATCACACGCCAATAATTTACCATTACCAATCAATTTAACACATCTTTCAGCGAAGATAAACATAATAGACGTAACTTATTACGAAACAGATACAAGTTGCTTTGCTAAACCATCACAACCAAAAATAAAAAAATAAAAAAAAATCCGTGAATTTCCAAGCAATCTCATCATCACAATCAAGCCCCCTCTTGATAAAGAACTTCTGAGTTCTGACTTAATATCAATAATAGCTATATTAATCAACTCAAACGACAACATATAATAATTATATATGAACTCCGAAAAAACGACAACATCATAAATATATGTGAACTCATATGTAGTACAACTACAAATTCATCATAACAATATATATATATATATAATATATTGTATAAAGTCATACAAAGGGGTATATATGTCGTGAAAAGACATATAATCAACCCATAGTACTACAGTACCACTTGAAAACCTAGCATAAAGACAGATCAAGAGCCTAAAGTCCATAAACACACGTTATGGCTAGAAACTGCAAATAAATAACAAACAAACACACACCGAAATAAGAATAATAATTAAAGCAAACCGAACCTGAACAAGTGAAAAAGAAAAACTTTTTCAATAGTCCACGTCAGCAAAGTGGGAGCGTGGGTCCCACTCATGCTTTAGAAAGTCCACATGCAGTCGAGAAGCTCGGAGGCTACGGGTTTCCCGTCGTCGTTGGTGGCCGGCGGCGGCAGGTACCCGGTGGAGCTGCAGCTGGCGGCGGCAGGGAAGTCGCCGCCGTGAAGGGAATTCGACGGCGGGAAGAACAGCGGCAGGTGGAGATTCTCGTGTAGAGACCGGAGGCTAGGGAAGGCCGCCGACCCCGGCGATGGCGGCTGGAGAAAGTGAGGAGCGAGCTCAAAAGCTGCGATGTTGTTGTAGGTAGTAGTGGAGAAACAGGACACGTGCTCCCTCGGTGTTGGGCTGTCGTACGAGCAGCCGTCACGGTCGGTGAGCTTAGTAGTAGTAGCCGTTGGGAAAGGGGAATTGGAGTCGAGGAGTGGCGGGAGAGAGACGGAAGAAGGAGAGCTCGGCTCTTGATAGAGTTGGCTGAGACTTCCGGAGCTCATCAGCCGGGATTTCTTCGAACTGACCCCGGATATGGCAGCTCCGGTGCCGGTGCCGGTGCCGCTCTTCTGGAAGACTCGGGATATCACCCACTCATCCTGTTAAAAGACATGAAGAGAATCAATACCACAAGAATTTACGTAGAACAATTGACGCAACACTAAATATCATGCAAAGCCAAACGACGTAATTAGTGAAAGTGGGTTATGGAGATTTTCATGCGTACATGTTCAAAAGACAAGCTTAGAATTTTCCTTTTATTTTTTTTTTATTTCTTTTCATTTTCATCCCTAAGTAGTGAAAGTGTACTTATGTTATAGCTAGTTCCATAGATGTACTTTGGTGGAAAATATTTTCATGTATTAGGAAGTTCTACTCGAGAGAATTAGCTACTGTGTCTTTTTGTATACGCTTCTTGTGATAGATTTATGCATGGTACTGCAATATAGAACAAAGCAAAAGAGGGTGCGGCAATAAATAACATGTAAATATCAAGTTTCTTCTATTTATTTTTTTCCAGTATTTCCGACACAAAAAGGAGGGCATTAATAGGTAGTTCAAATTTCAGTTCTTAAATTAAAGCAGCCTATAGAAAATAAGAAACAGAAAACTCAACTGAGACAAGAAGTATACATAGAATGCCTCATGTTTCATCAACGACAAATGTAAGACACAAACAAGAGAAAAGAGGTATGAATATTCATATAAATTAAAAAAAAAAATACCACTGAAGTGATTATCAGTAATTAAAAGTTTGTTCTTTATTTATTTATTTAAAACTTTTACTTTTTTCTAATTAATATGTAATTAATACGACTTGTAACAGAAGGCAAAGGCCTGATTATTATGTTGCAGTGGCCTGTGAATGATGTTAGAGAGAGAGAGAGAGAGAGAGAGACCTTGGAGCTTCTAGAGAGATAATGGTAAGCAAACTTTCCCTCAAGTCGGTACTCATGCATGACCCAGTTGCTTTTCTCTCCCTTGGGAGCTCTCCCTCTGTAAAACACCAAAGTCTTCTTCATCCCAACAAGAGAACAAGTCTTTGAGCTGTAAATCTCCCTATCTTTCCCCGTCGCCTTCCAGTACCCGGCTTCAGTCGCTCTGTTTGTTCTAAGCCCTGTTGGGTACTTCCGGTCTCGAAGGCTAAAGAAATACCACTCTTTCTCTCCCATCTTCGCCTTCTCTGCAAACCAAGAAAAAGTCATTTTCTTGAACATGTAGTACTTAGGTATTCTGCTTTTATTATTTCAATAGCAATATTTGTTTAAGTATATACATATATATATACATATATATATATATACCGGGAAGCTCCCATGGCTCGCACTTGTTGAGGTCGACTTCTGCGATGGCCCGGCCGGTGAAGTTGCTGTCGAGGACCTTCTTGAGGAGGTAGTAAGTTATGAGCTCTTCGTCGGTTGGGTGGAACCGAAACCCAGGAGGCAAATGGGCTTCACCATGGTCAAAATGGTGGAGGTTGTTGTTGTAGGACATTATTTCCATGGAAAAGAACACCCAAAAAAGAAAAAAAAAACAAACAAAACAACGAAAGAGTTTTTTTTTTTTTTTTTAAAGTAAAAAAGAAGATGAAGAAGAAAAGAGAAACCCAGAAGTGGTTTCGAGTTCTAGGACAGCATTTTTTAAACTGATGAGATGAGATGAGGAAACCGTACTAAAGAGAATATAAAGTTTGGTTGAGTGGTTAGGGAAAGGGAAGAAGAAAGAAGAAGGGTGTTTATGGTGTTATAAGGGTTTTTATTTTTTCTTTTTCTTTTTCTTTTTTTCATGGGGATTTGATGAATCTTAGTGGCAGAGAGTAAAAAGGCTGATATAATAATAAGCAACGATATGGCATTGGCTGGGAAGAGAGAGAAAGGGAAAAAATGAATGAAAGAAAAAAAAAAAAAAAAAAACCTGTGTTTTTCTCTCCTCTGTCGTCCTGTTCTGTTCTCTCTCTCCCTCAAGTCTGACATATATATCTCTCTCTCCTTATAATATATTTAGAGAAAGAGAAGGGTGATGTATGTGTCTGGGGGGAGTGGGCTCTGATGAGGTGTCTGTGTTGAGTATGCGTGCGTGCGTGAGAAAGTGTGCAGGTATTCCTCTGTCAGTGAAGAAAATGAAAGGAAGTAGACGTTTAGGCTTTTATTTTGCTAATTCGAATTTAAATTTTAAATTTTATTATAATAAATTTTTTTTAAAATTAATTATATTTAATTTTTTTATTACAGTAAAAATTTTTCATATAAAATTATATCTAATTTTGAATAAAAATTCAAATCAAATCAACGAATTAAACAAATCTTTAAACTGTTTAATTTGCTCATTTAAAATTTTAATTTAAATTAAAATGTGATTTTATGTTAAAATTTTTTATTGTAATAAAAAATTAAATAAGATTATTTTTTAAATTTTTTTACTATAACTTAAATTTTAAATTTAAATTTATAAAATAAATAATGTCTTAATTTACATATTCAGAATAATAATTTAAAATTATTATTAATTTATGTGTATTTAAAAAAAAATGACATGAATTCTCCTATTAAATACTTTAAAAAGAACAGAAAGTTGTCCTTGAGAGATATAGAGAGAGAAAAAAAACAATGAGGGACTATTATGAGAAAATCCCAAAAAAATAGTAGAAAAAAAAAAGAATTAGATTTTAAATTATTTTTTTAACCATGGATCGATAAAGCTGGTTGATATCTCATCAGACAGTACTACGAATTTTTTAATATTATAGGAATAGACAGAACCATGGTAAAAATTCACACGCAATTTGTTTTTTTTTTTTTTTTCCCTTCCACTCCTTTCAATACTCAACGCTCTATTTTTGTTTTGTTCTGGTTTTTTCTTCTCGTCTGCCAAAATTTTTCTCTCTTTTTGCAAAAGAAAAACACTATTTTGGCTGTGGGATTCACTGATGAGCGATGATCATAATCTCTTTTTTGGGATTTTGCTATTTATTGTGAGGTAAAATACCGGAATTTTAAATAACATTTTAGAAGGATTTAAATTAGAGTATTAATTAATCAAAAATAATCAAGCCTTAAACGTCACGTCAATAAGTAACTCTTTTAGGAGTTGATCGTTAAAAAAAAGTCAAAGTTAGCATGAGATCAACCGTATCCGTAATTGAAGGCAAAGAGATTTTTGTGAACATTTATAAAGTTGATACTACGTAAGAGATAAAATCAGCGAGATTTGTTATTTGTAATTCAAATATATGAAGTTTAAATAAGGAAACTGTTCTAATTGATGACAATCTCTATCTTTTAAGAAATTATGGAAAAAGATAAGAGAAATATCTCAATTCAAATAAGGAAAAGGATATGGGCAATGACTATGAGTATAAATAAGGGATGATACGTCAGAAAATTCCTGTCTCATTTTGAGCATTAGTGCGTGTATTCTCTTCAAAAATAGTAAATTTTCTCTCCTCCCCGCAGTGGACGTAGCTCTCGAATTGAGGGTGAACCACTATAAATTTTGTGTTATTGTTTAAATTCTACTTTTAATTATGTTTTAAATCATTTAATTCACGTTAACCGTAAATAAATTCATTATTACTCTGTCAGCGAATTTTCACGGACAACAATTGGCGACTCCATTGGGAATCGAACACATAATCTCTTGTTAGCACGAAGAATTTCGGTGAGAAACTCGATCTAAAGCCATGCCTCCAAGAAGAACCAGAAGCAACATTGCGAATCAAGGCAGCCAAATTAAAGATAACACCGTGAATCAAGCCAATCAGGCCAATGGAGGAAGGGGTGAGAATCAACTGAATCTAGAGAATCAACCTGTAGTTGAGAATGAAGAAGTTCCAGCCCTAAGCGCACCACAACCAGATCCGGTGTATATGCAAGCATAGCTGAATTCCCTTACTGATCAGTTCGACACTTGGTGGTTACCATATAGCGAATTAAATGGAGAAACTCAAAGCCTTCTCTCAGAGACGCTCAACCGAAACCACCAAACGCAACCACAGCCAGAAACCAGAATAATGGTGACCAGTGTGGTGCCTTAGAAGGAATTGGAGAGAGCAAGAGCACAAGGGAAAATAACCCTAGACCTTGACCGTCAAAGTCACTGGGGAGCAGGGCAAATTTATACTTGAGAGAGTACAAAGTACCTACCCATTCCATCATAAAATATTCATTTGATTAGTACGTACATTGCTATATAAAAGGCTTGTCAATTTACACCTAAATTTAAAAAAAGTTTGAACTCAAGTTACAAATTTATTCAAGTTCATGTTTTTTTGTAAAATTTGAGTTTGGGACGAAAATCTGAGTTCAAGTTCTCCCTTCAACTCAAGTTCATAAACTCATACTCAAATTAATGAACATTATTTTTTCTATTCTTAAAAACGTCATAACTTTTTCGTTTTAATTCCGATTGAGATGGCTTTTTTTATACGTTCACAACAAAGAGATGAATAAAATCTCACCCATACACCATATTAAAATTTTCTATCACCATTGAATTTTTATTAAAATAATCCAAATATAAATTTATGTTTTGTCCCACCCAAACACAAACTCAAATAAATTCTCAATTTAAACCATAACTCAAAATGTGCACATTAAAATACAAACTCAAATTAGAGTCTCAACTTAAACCATACTCAAATACATCTTAACTCAAATTCAAATCTATTTGCAAATAAGGCATATCTTGTATAGGTAAATTTTTTGAAATGATACCTTTATTTCCATGCCTTCCAGCTACTTTATCGCCCACTTTGATTTTACATTTTTGTGAATTATATACACAAATCGTTTCTAGATTATAACTAGAATTCCTTTTCTGGATCCATCTCACATCAATAATTCGACCTCTACGGTAGTTTTAGACAAGTTTCCTTTAAAATGGATATCTAAATTCAAAAAATGTAAATGAATGATTCAGCTGATTCAAAAAAAAAATATATATATATATATAGAGACATGAATAACGATTGAGAAAATAAACAAATTAATTAATGCTTGTGATTTCATTAACGCTCTATCGTAAATTCGTAACACTACCTCACGTGTTAATACCAACAGTGAAGTAAGACAAGTCTCACTCCGCCCGAAGCGGATATCGTTTGCCAAAAGTTGCCAGCAGAATTAGTTTGAAAAAAGAAAAAAATTAATTTTAGATAATTTTTATGGTGGAAATGGCTTTTTACCCTTATAGTAACACTGTTTTAACATTTCGATTAACTTTTAATTGTCAAATTTGTAAGTGTGCATGATAAAAATTTAATGAACGTGATGCATAACTGATTTCGGTTGTAGATCTAAATGTTAAAACGTTAATTTAACAATTTAAAAATAATTCCTATCGGTAGGATAAAAAAGCCATCTCCACTACAAATATTAGCCGTGTTTGGAATTGATCATGTTTTTGTTTTTCATATTTTTTGAGAAAAAAAATGAAAACGTTTTTAAAATAGCGTTTGGCGCAATAAAGACAAAATCGGAAATGAAAATGATTTTTTGATTTAATGTAAAATTTGAGAGAAATAAAAAATGACTTTTAGTCATTTTTTATTTTTTATTTTCATTTTCTCCTCTCTCGAGCAGACAGAGAAAGACATTAATGGATTTTTTTATACTGAAAATAATCTATTGATAAAACTACCAAACTCATTTTTAAAAATGATTTTTATCTGAGATTGAAAATATTTTCATTTTCATTTTCATATAAAAAATAAAATTATTTTATAGCGAGTTTTAAACGCGCTCTTGTCTTAGTTTTATTGATTTTACTCCATGGGTTAAATTTTCAACTCTTCTGTTACATTTCTTCGAATTTGACGGTACAAAAACATTAATTTATGTAATGTACTTTCATATCCTACTTGACAATTATCTCTTTCCACTTTAACCATATCTTTTTTTAGTCTAATTTTATCTCGCTAACAAAACCTTAACTGGTTTCATTGACATTACGCATACCCTTTTTTTATTTTCACCAGCCAAATATAATCCGAAGGCCAAATGTCTTCACTTGAAAAAGATTAATTAACACCCGATGAAAGACACTAATTTTCTAAGAAAAAAATGAAAAATTGTTCAACTTACCTAAGAATGTGCAAGTCTTGATTTTTTCCTTTACTTTTAACTAATATAGTTATTTGACATTTTTTTAAAAAAAATAAAAGACACTACGAACCACAAACTCTCAATAATAATAATAATAATAATAATAATAATAAAAATAAATGATCGCTTTGATAACTAAAATGTTTAATCATGCATGGTACTGTATGATTTCATTAAGGTACAAAAATGAATACAAGACATTAGTTTGAAAACATAGAATTTTGCTTTAAGTTTTAGCCTCATGGAAAACAAAATTATAAGAAAAGTAATTAGTTATTCGACCTTAAGATGATTCTAATAAGCCCTGAATGCAATCTTTGACCGCGCAGCCGCACTGCATCGCACACAACTCTATCATATGTAGTACTCTCTTAACTGAGGCATAGGCTGATGATAAATCTACATCTTTACAACTCTATCGTAGGTTTATTTGGTATGAGGATTTATGTCATGGTTTGAATCATAGTTCGTAGCCCGATACAGTATTTTCTCTGCATGAATGCAATCTCTGCCCGCGCTGCATCGCACACAACTCTATCGTATGTAGTACTCTCTTAAGTGAGGCATTGTAACACCCTGAAGAATTAATTGAGA